GCCAAAAAAAAAAAAAAAAAAAAAAAAAAAAAAAAAATATATATATATATATATATATATATATATATATATATAAACGTTCTTCAAGAGATGATCTTACTTATTTCGGTCTTACCAGTTTTTTACATACCTTCATTTATTTTGAAGTACAAAATTCACATAATCAGAGCTTCTGTTAATTGCTTTTGAATTTGGTGCATAGAATATTAGCAGCAATTAAAGTCATTGTGTTTATATGCACTTTAGATCGACTATGTCCACCATAACAGCAATTCGATGAACACCGAGGAAAATAAATGTTATATAAATCCCAATTCTTCGAATCGTAGTGCAGTAGGCTTCCTTTGAAATTGTACATATTCAATAGGATGAGAATATCTTTGTCATTTGCATGCTACTACATACAAACATCGTATTAAGACGTTTTAAATAATCAAGCAAAAAGGACTTTAAAAAGAAAGTTAAATTAACACACCATTTGACCTATGTACAAGTGGGAATAAATAACTCTGGCTCAGTGTTTTTTTCTTTTCTTTGTTCTTATTCTGTACTTTTTAAACAATAGAAAAGAAATGCAAGGACGGATTTCATGTGATTTCGCAGGTACGCATGAGTTCCTTCACATACACGGTTTGTGTCGAGCAGAAGAAACGAAGAGAGAGAGAGAGAGAGAGAGAAGAGAGAGTGGTTAAGGGCCATGCTTTTCATCCAAGTGCTGTATGAGGAAGAGAGAGAAAGGACCTGGCGCGTTTGGAGTACCGTACATGTCCCGCATGCAGGATTGGTGGGGTAATGCAGATTTGAGCAATGCTTGAGGGCCCTAAAAGTTCATAAGTCCCCTCAACCTCAGTTCATGAGTGAGAAATGTCAAGGATTGCTATCTCCCTTTCTTGCTTATAAGTGTTTTAATATGATTATTGTTTCTTACAAAGTCCCTTCACAGGCTGAAGTTTCGTTTCCAGTATGTTCTCATCTTCAGTAAGACTCGTAAATCGGCGAAGACAAAAAAATAAAAATAAAAAAAATAAAAAAAACAAAAACAGATTAAGGAAGCGAATGTATGTCTATAAACATGTCGGACTTTGCAGTTAGCCTATAACTAAAAAAATAAATAAAATAAAAAATTGACAGATTCCAAAACTAATGGGTCTTTGGAGGTTATGCGTGATCCCATATTTACTAACCTTAAGACTTTTATGGTACAGTACTATATGCACACAAATAATGAGTGAAGACTTTAAATATGTTGTTGTAATAGACTTTACACTCTTAAAAATAAAGGTTCTTTAATGTTTCTTTTCAGCACTTTAAGTTCAGCAAAGGACTTGGCTTGCTTGTCAAGAACCATTGTGGGTAGTTCTTCGGAAAAGAAGTGCTGGATGTTACGTTATGGGTTCTCTTGATTTGCACATTGGGTTTTGTAAAGCACCACATAGAAACTTCTCTAGAGTCTTTGAGAATAAAATATTTATCTGTGGAACGTAAAAAGGTTCTCCTATGGCATCAGACCTTTATTTTTAAGAGTGTATGCTCTAAAGTGGACATTGGGTATTTCAGATGAGAACTGCAAATAAAACTCACTCTGAAAATCATCAAAAGTAAGGTTTAAAAAACGAATACGTTGGTGCGAAAAAAGTCTTTAACAAGAATCACTCTCACATGAAGAAGTCCGTGGAAGTGTTTTTTCCGTGAGTGCCGTTGGACGGGTCCCGAGTGTTGCAGCCGCCGCCGCCGCCG